CAAATCTTTGCATAACTACAGGAAACACTGCATCTAACAATGGTTTGGAAAAAAATAGTTAATTAAAAAATAATAATAAATAAAAGCATATACATCAACTCAAATACAGTTATCTAATAAGCATGTGTCCTATTCTGTGTACTAAACTCCTAAAACATGGGTGTCTTTTTGAAACATTGGTGACTCTTTGTATATGCCCAGCCAACATTTGTGTGTGGGGCCCATGTGGGTTTGACATGGGCTGAAAAAGTGGGCCCAAAATGGGATTGTCCGCGGGTTCCATAATGGCCCAATGTCAATTGCCCACATGGATTTCATGTGGGATTGTACTTGCCAACAGGTGGGCCCCAACTGGGCAACATGCGCAAGACCCATCTTGGCCCCAGCTTTATTTTTTATAACTAAGTAAACAAAGACAAAACTACAATAGTATATTTACAGATTAAACTGACCTGCACTTGAAACCCTGAACAGTAGTTTTACTTCTCTTGTCCACCTGTGCACTTCCACAGTCCACTCCATTCTCTCTCTCGCATTGATTACTCCGATCCAAACCTTTTGGCGGAGGAAGCATTGCCAGTCACGACTAACCGATTCATGATTTATTAGAGATTTAATTATCGAATGGCGAATTCAGAAATAATCGCTTTAGTACATTCGGCAAGCAACTATACAATAATAATATTAAAATAGCGGGCCAAATCAGCTGCCAGGCCACCGGGAACTGTCCCGGTCCTCCCGATGGCCAATCCGCGTCTGATTTCCACAGACATGCAGAACGTGCAGGATTCACATATTGTCTTTTTGCGGCTTAATATTCACAGACACTAGTCCATATCGCGTTTTGATTCAAGGGTACTGACCTACTTTTGATTTATTCGTCCAAAATGTGGCATATTCCGTCCGCGTTAGGCTATAGGAATTCCGTTTTTATGACTGGATTCTACGAACCAGTCTGTGTTTCCCGCATTGTGGAAATTATAGGACCGTATGTCTCAGAGTAGTCAGTGCAATTTGGGAAAGAAATCAATTAAATCAGTATGTGGATGTGTGTAAATATTCAAATGTAATCCCCTTTGTAATCGTTAACATTTTCATAAGTAACTGTAATTTAATTACACATTTTTTCTTAGTAACTGTAACTGATTACAGTTACATTTATTTTGTAATTAAATTACGTAACGCCGTTACATGTAACTAGTTACTCCCCAACAATGATTATATATAATTATAGTTTAATAAATTTTATTTATTAAATTATCTTATCATATTTATTTTTAATTATTTTATTTTTTCCTCATTGTATTATTATATTTAGAATTTTATATATATATATATATACGATTGTTTTATCTTTATATTTATTTTTTTCTTTTCTAATTTTATTATAATTAAAATTAAATAGAATTATATTTATTATATTTAACATTATTTTATTATTATTATATTTATTTTAAATATTTTGTTCTAATGTTATTATTATT